AGTCAGGGCGGCTAGGGTCTGGAACCAACTTCCAACAGAAGTGGTGCAGGCTCCTACCCTGGGGGTTTTTAAGAGGAGGTTAGATGAACACCTTGCTGCGGTCGTCTGACCCCAGTACTCTTTCCTGCCATGGCAGGCGGTCGGACTAGATGATCTGCTAAGGTCCCTTCCGACCCTAGACACTATGAAACTACGAAACATCCACAGACATTCCCATTCTAAAAGCTACACTGGAGTCCAGTACTTACTGTTGAAAAGGAATAAAATGCTGCTTTTCTTCATCATCTACTTTCCCATGTATGATATCAGTAATGTCCATCACTGCAATAAGACAGTTTAAACAAAGGTTATTTTATATACCCAACAACTTACTTTTGAGGGATAGTACACGCATACATGTATCCCTCGTCCACGTTATGGACAAGCTGACAAAAGTTGATCACTCTGATTCAGTTCTACTAGTAACAGAAATATTCAGAGACATACCAGAGCAACGTCACTGGAGTTTTTTAGCCTTAGATAAAGTGTGATTGACGTAGCACTGAAAGTACCAGAGCACTTCATGCCAACATTGCTTCTATTGATGAATCATGCCTGAGTAACTGCAATGGTGAAAAAAATTTACACCATTTGGGAAGTTTGGCCAAAAAATCCCCAGGAGCTTTGTACATTTCTTGTTGATCACCTATGGAAAACTTTCTGCTGCCCAAAACCAAGGAGAGGCAAAAAACAACCAAAAGCCCCCAACCCCTGTCCACACCCCCACCCCCCAAAACCACCCCTCAAACTTTCTTCCTAAGCATACATTTCTCAACACTCATTCAGCATGTGAATATGCATCTATCTGCATTAACCTGAATGGTTTACACTGTCCCAGCCCTCAATGCTATCATTCTTGTATGTGGTAGCACAGATGCTTCACATGACTTTAACCAGGATTTTTCTTTTCTATGTACAATAATTCAGTCTACAGCAGCACATAACCATTTTCTCCATCATAAACAGGTGGGATTTACATGCAGCAGATCAAGGGAAAGTTGCAACCTGATTTCAAGTGCTGTTTGCTTCAAGATTTATCTTTTCTGTGGGTGTTTACAGACATGCTTCAGGACGCAGGGGGGAAGAAGAGGCTTTAATTAGTGCAGCTCCCAGAGCCATGCTAATTAAATCACCCGAAGCATCACATGTATTAGCGCCCCCACACTGAAAAATGGCGGCAAGGTGCTTTGAACTAAAGCTTGTTGAATGAGTTCTGGTTTAAAGGCCCCTGTTGCCATTTTTCAGCTTAGGGATGCTGATACACGGGACACTGAAGTCTGCTGGAGTGCAATAATTGCCACGTTCCAGCAGGCTCAGTTAACTGAGTCTGCTCCAACGCACTGCAGTTACAGTGCATCAGAGCAGCCTCCCTGCATGTGTACAGGAGCCCTGTGATTTCAGGCTAGAACTTTCAAAGGAGACTGAGGCAGTTCAGTGCCTAATGCAATAGGAATTGCCTGTAATTCAGCAGCTGCAACTTTTACAAACCACAAACCGAAAAAACAGCTCTGGTCTGCCATGGGCCGAATGGCTTTGGTGATGTGCCAGTGACAGGGGACTTTCCCTGCTCCCATGACGGGGCCACAGCTGGAGGGGAAGAAGAAGGGAGGTGGGGGAGACACAGAGAAGTGGCAATAGCACAGGCACAGCTGGAAGTTTCCCAGCCCCTGTGCAACTCCTCACTGCCCAGCCCCAGCACAAGCTCCAGCACAGGCAAAGTTCTTCAGCTCCATGGGCCAGATCCAGTGGCTTCACAGGCCATACGTGGTCAACTCCTGGCCTAATTCATTAAGGCTCTTTTAAAAATGTGTTCTTTTAGTCAGGAAAAAATGCCTCTATAAACAAGGATTGAAAACAGAATGGGACACCACTGCTTCACAGGGAGCCAAAAGAATAAGAACTAGGCAGTAAAAGAAAATCAGACTAAATAAATCATGAACACTAATAATGCTTACATCTCATGAAGCATCTTTCATTTGTAGATCTCAAAGCACTTTCCAATGACAGGTTGATATCCTCATCCCCATTTTACAAAAGGGGAGTGACACCGAAATGTTTCTGACTTTCCCTGTCAGTGGCATGGCCAAGAATAGAATCCATGTGCCACGACTACCCACAGAGCTTGTTCTTACAACTAAAGCATTTTGCAGGTCATCATCTGTCAGAGTCTCATACCTGCAACACCAAACGGTCTCCGGAGCCCACAGGTGTGTTTCTTCCCATCTTTTAGTTCCATATGCCCCACTCTCACAATCTGACACACCAGACTGATCTTAGGCCTGATCAAGTCAGAACTGCTCAAGTCCTAGATACCATTTTAAAACAGAGAAAAAGTCCAGTTGGTTATCAATGCAGCAAAAGAATAAAGAGGTTATTGTCGATTTGCATTATTTTCTGACCATCAAGTGAAGTCACATGCACTTGAGGTAGGAAACCTATTTGTTACAAGAAAGTGAAATAGACTATTTACAAAGGAACCATTTGGGCAAGTATACTGTTGAAAAAAAAAATACCAATTTCAACACGGGAATCCCCAAATGCCACCTTATTCTTTGATGAAACTTTTCAGAAGTGGTGCTGCAAATGATAAAAATGCTATTATTGCTAAAACACTATTAACAACAGGGTAGTTTCTGCCTATGCTGCTCTCTTATCTAGTTTGAGCATGTCACAAATAATTAATTTTTAAGTGTTATCCTTTCATTAACAGCATGTTATAAGTGATTTTATATTATCTAGCTGGCCACAGGTAAGTGCCTGTACAAATCCATGTCCAAGAGCAAAATACAGGTTCATAAATACCACGAACCCCCCCAAAAACCCCAATGATCCATTCATATTCAACTCTTTCTAAATGGAAGCATTCAGTTGAAAAACAAACACAACACATGAGGCTTTTGGGGCCAGGTTTTTAGGTATATTCAGGCATGTGAAGAGACAGATCAGTGCCTAGTGAGACTTGCAACATTTCAGAGGGCCCAAATGCCCAATGAAATCATCCTTTCCAAATAAACATACCTTGACAAAGACCTCAGGCAACTATTCAGAAAAACAATGTGGAACATTTTCACATGTGGATACTGCAAATCATCTATGAGATGCCAGTTATTCAAACAAGTCACGTATGCCACCCTTGTCCCAGAAAATATCTGGGTCTGCAGCATGGCCATTTGTATACACGTGACTAGGATGAGCAAATGTCTACGAGTGAGCGCAAAGGGCACGCATGCACTTTCTGACAGCACAGCTTGGAGCCGCTCATTTTAACACATTGACTATCACCAATACTCTCATTTCTTCAAACAATTTGTAACGTATCAGAAGTCATCTCTCCTGTAGTTGGTCATCACCTTGCCCGTCTTACAGTGGTTAAAGAAACTTCTGTCTCCATTTCTAACACACCAAGGAGAAATGCGATAGGCCTCATGCCCAACAAAGATAACCAAATAACTTGCAATTCTCAGACATCTTAGGGCAGTCAAGTTTCCTCAGGGCATATGCTTTGCCATTTTTTGCAGTGAAACCATCTAATTATGATATCTCATGCAGATCTCTAAATTTACCAGTTACTTCTGAATCACTTGGTGAACTAACTTTATCTGTAAGGCATACAAAGCAAAAAACACAGGTTTGCTCAGAAATTTTCCTGTTTGTTTACTGACAGGTAGACCCATCTCATCTTGGAAAGCCTATCAACATTTGCAAGATACAAAAGACTTCCAAACAAAACTGTGCAAGGGTCTTGGTATTTGTACAGCATCCATCAAAGAACAAAAAAGGGAGTAGGAGGGAAATAATTATTTTGATATGTATACATGCTCAGCAAAATTCTGCCTGGGACTTCCTAGATGAAATAAAGATTAGGATAAATGACTCTAGGTGCTGGGAATTTCCAGCTTACAAATAGGACTTACTGTAAAAACTGCTTGGAGATTATTAAGTTTCTCAATTTCCTTTGGCATCCCATTGCTACCCCAACGAACAAGGTAATTTTCACTATAAATAAAGTAAATAACATTAGCTTCTTATGCCATGTGCATGGGTATACTATTCAAAAGCAGTTAAGACATCTGGGCTCATTTTAAAATTTTAATCTCAAACCCTCTCTCTCCAAGAGATTCATAAACGATACTTAAAAAGAGTTACTTGACACCTCAGTGAAATGCACCTACTTCTTGGGTACCCCCTTCAACACAATTGAAAGTCAGGAAGCAAATCAAACACATTAAATCTAAAGGGAACTATAAGAGGGCTTAGAAGCTGGAGCATGGCCAAGACACCAGAGTATATGTACCTCCAATTTAAAAAATTGTGCAGAGGGATTTTTAAGTTGCATCTGACCTCAGGATCTTGGCTAACTGTCTCAGCTGAAATAAAATAACCAGTGTTCAGACTTTTGGAGATATGCTAACCAAATGCAAGGGAAAAAATCCCAGCGCCACTAACTCTTTTATCTCCTCATCAGATGGACCACTGTGATGACTTAAAAAAACATTAGGGCATTTGAGGGCTCAGCAGCAAACTACCTGATAAATTTGGATTGGTCAGGATCATACAGGCTCATAAGCAATTCTGCATCTTCACCAATGTTGCAGACGAAGTTCTTGAAGTTTACATAGAGACTGTATGTGTGTGTTGTACTAAATACTGGCTTCCCCCGTAAGTCCACATTCTGTTGCACAGACTGCAGAGAAAGATGAATCAGAAAAGAAAGTGCATATTCAGAAATAATAAAGTTATAATTACCAACAGGCTAACACCAGTGCAATAAACTTGGTGCTAGGGTTCAATTCACATTGATCCTACAACAATACATATCCATATGGGCACAGGTACATGTACGTTCAATACCCCAAAAGTACCATAAAAGTTCACAAGAAATGCATACGTACAAGAAGAAGAGCTAAATCAAAACATCAGTCTTTACTGAAAAGCTCAGAACAACAGTAAGTATTTTATAAAATAACTGACAGTTCAAATCAGAGGGATTTAAGCTCTCATTTCAAAGATTTCCCTTTTAAAATGGAACTTAGGAGCTGAATACATTTAGGCATTTTTGAAAAGATGACCCTACATAGTTACTATGAAGTACACGCTTTGGAAAGGAGGTAACCACATTTTGCCTGAGATTTTCAAAGTTGCCTATGAACTCATACCTTCTCTTCTTGGATCCTCTCATCAATCCTTTTGGATGCAGTCTCATGGGACTTGAAGAGGGTGATAGTGTTGGTTTCATCTGGGTCCAGGATGTTTCCATTGTCATCTCGCACCACCAAATCCAGCCCTAGGATCCTGTGTGGCATCCAAGATATAAGAGGCACAGAAAAGGTAAGGTAAACTGGAAGCAACTGTAATCAAGAGTGGTTTTAATGTATAGGAATGTAAAACCTTGACACGGCTTTTCTTCCCATTCTAAATGAGAGTGGGGTAGTTTAAAGAACTAACGGAGCACTCTGCAACAACAAGGAAGATAAACAGGTAAAAGGACCATATGAGGTCACTCTTTAACAATCTGCTGCTACTAGCATCATTGTTTTTTTGTGTCAACTCTGAAGATCCCATCATGGGATCCAAAACCTCAGGCCTACATCCTCAGCTGTACTACAGCTTTCTACACATCATCTGAAGACAGATCAGGAGCAAGGGTAGATTGAAGCAATGTAGTGCTTTGGGATTTGGTTTTTATGTGGAATGAGGAGGGATTCCTGCACACCAGAGCACAGACTTGAATCTGGACTCTTCATACCCGCTCCGGTCACTGGAGATGTAACCCAAAAAACAGAGACATTATACCTGAAGGGCGCATGTATGGAACTACCCACGAGAATATCTCAGTATCTACAAAGGCAATTAGAGGAGCCCATTTTACCAAGTTTTTTTCCTATTCTACTGACAAGGGAAAAGGGTATATTGCACTTCAAAAGGAAGTGTTCACATCTTCCATGTCCCATTCTTGGGAACTGTAATCCCTGTCCACACCAACATTAATATAAACGCTCTGACACATTTGCCTCTAAATTAGGAAGCCTTCAGGTCCCTAGCCTTTCACTGCCTGACTTGAAGCACAAACATAGGCTGAATTAATGGTGTGCGTTGAAATCATCCTCAAAGGAACAACCAACTTTCAACAAGACCTAAACGTCAAGCCTAGACAGGGCCTCAAGAGTCTTAAACTGTGTAAACTATAGATATCAAACTGAAGACTGAACCTAGTAGCTAGATGAGAAGTATTTAAGTCCCAGTCCTTCCAGTCTTATACACTGTTTTAATGACAATAAACACTGGCCCAATGCCCCCCTTGCTGCCCCCCAAAAAATAAAATTTCTACAGAATAAATTGAACTAATAAATTAATCTAACTAATGTGAGACCCCTTGGATTCAAATTTATGCATGTTTTAAAAACTGAAATATCTATGCATCTATTAAATCTCAAGTTCTATAAATAAGACTGTTAAATGGTTAATTTTTCAACTCTGCTTTAAAAATACCTTCTTAATTAACTTATTTGACCTGAATGAGGTTTGACAGGTAGATAAATGAGCCAGTGAGACCATTCTTCTTCTGTACAAACCAATGAAAGACTGCTTTGGCCATCTACAGAGCTGTGTTGCTTAACATGCTGATGAAGCAATTTAGTTCCTGACTTGAATCTAAATCCTGGCCCTGGGCAACCCGGGCACAAATCATGCTCCTTGGGAGATGCAGTCTTCATGCCAGCATTTCAGCAAGATTAAGACAGGTGAGGTTTTTTGCCAAAAGAAGGACAGTGTAGGCTTATGAAGTGCAAGCTGCTAACTCCCTTTGCAATAAAGTAGGGATATTTTGATGGGGGCTAAAAAACAATAACCATCGCCTTTTCTTGGAACAGCCAGCTGGAAATTGATTCAGGGCTGCCTTTGTATGGTCATTTGCATTAGGAAAAAAAAAGCATACTTAAATGATCACTGACCTGTTTTGATACCTACTTTGCCCTGCTGTAAAACATCCACATCAATGAAAAATCAGTCCTTAACCTCAAACTGCTTTTTGGGGCCACCGTGCATTTAATTAAAGATGGTGAGGTAGACTGGGGTTGGTGGACAGTCCCAGAATATATTCTCTCTTAAAAGGCATCAAGATTCATAGAAGAACTTGGGTTTAAGCGATTAAAGCTTGATCTGGCAAAATCATCAGTTGGGACTCTTGAGGTCAAAAGATCTAGGTTCCCTTTTCCTTTTAGTGTTTCTATCATGGCAGTACCTTCAGACTCTAACCAAGACCAGGATCTCATTGTGCCATACCCTGCACGTACACAAAGAAAAAGACTGTTCTCTTGCTCTAGGCAGCTTTCTATCCAAATAGGCGTGAGCGATGGCAGGTGGAAGGGAAAAGAGGCTTTCCCCAAGGTCATACTAAGAATGTCACTGTCAGAGTCCAGAACAGAATGCAGACTTTCAAATCCTTCTCCAGTGCTCTATCCATTGGCTCACATCATCTATTATCTTAATCAAATACAGCCAGCACCTAAGCAACAGAACCCTGATGGGCCCAGCCCTTCCACAGTTACTCGAATGAGCAGTCAACAAGGAGATTAAAAGATAAGTATTAATATGAATAAAGGTGACTGGGTTGGAACAAACCTGAGATTACAAATCTGCTAAACTCATATAATAAATGGATTTAATTATAGAATTTGGAATGAAACTTTGACGCATTAGTGAAATGCCACTAAGTCTCTGTGGTGAGCTACTGTCTCAGGTAAGACTCCATGATCTGATTCTCAGAGATGCAGCTTTTCATTGCCTGCTTTCGCAAGAGATGCAGCAGTTACCATCAGATTAGTAAGAGTCACAGAAGCTTTTCCAGGAATCCCAGTTTCAGAATCCTGAGCTGGGATTTGGTTTACATGAAATACTGAACTGAGTTTACCTGTTGCCATAATCTATTTTAGCAGTGACTTTCTTCTTGAGTTCTGCCAGTTCATCTTTGGGAAGAGTCCCAGACAGTATCTGTGACCTCCACTCTATTAGGCTATAGGTCATTTGCTGAACATGCCGAAATTGTGTTGTCTTGTTGTCCTAAAGGGGAAAAAACAAATAATTCCAGGATGGTTACATAGTGAAAAAACTTGCACTCAAGTTTTCCAAAAGGTGACACAGTTGAATCTATCGCAGAATCTCTATTTAAGCAAAGGAAATACCTGCTAAGCCACTTCCTATATCCACAGTGACACTGCAAGAATCACACTGACAAATCTCCTCCAGCTTTTTGTCCTCATATAAATTTAAATGCACCAAGTATTGAGATCCACATCAGTTCCCTAGGAACATTTTCCATACAAGTCTCCTTGCCAGAGTTTATTTCTGCTATTTTTCAATACCCACAGACTACTGTGATGGAAGCTTTCAAGAAAGAGAGCAAAACAGACTGTTAGATAGCAGGTGCAGTCCAGAAGTGTGGGCACCAGATAAGGACTCAGAACAGCCAGGTCCTATCCCTGCCTCTGCCACAGAACTGCTATGTGACCTTGGGCAAGTCATTTTCTTGCTTGGTGTCTCCATTTCCCTTCCCCTCCTCCACATGTCTTATCCATTTAGATAACAACCTCTTTGGAGTTGGGATCATTTCTCACTCAATTTATATGGTTGCTGCAATATCACATGGCCCCACTTGTGTCTGGAGTCCCAAAGTGCCACTGAAATCAGTATGAAAGCCATGATGGAGCACCTACTGCTAAAAATTAATGCATTAAAACCCACATATATATTCAGCTGGCAACTTTCCTTTCCTTCATTTCATCCTTTTAACTGCTACTTATACCTCCTACTTGCACCAGCCTAAACAACAACTTTTCAACCCCTTCGGTATTTTAAACAAAAAAAAAATCCTTTTCAATTCACTGCCAGAGTAAACCACTAACAAAGCAATTAATTAGAACCCCTGCCTCCACCACTGCTTACAGCATTAGCAGCTCCATTTTGAAGCCAGCACACTAACTGAATGAACTGCATCCACACACTTCATTTCCACGGCTGCCTGTCCATTTGGCCCTGTCCACTAAGATTCTTGAAGTCCACTCAAATCGAAAAAAAAAATGCAGATGTAAAATATGAGTTCAGGGCCACACTGTTAAGTTGGCCATCATTACAGTACTTTTCAAGGCTCTTATTCTGCCATTGATAACACACAGTTGAACTGGAGGGCTCATGCAGACTTATGTTGAAATTAAAGCGACTCTGTAAAGGCAAGGAGTCTACCTAAATGCCACCAAACGTAACATGAGAGTGCAAACTCTTGTTTACTATGGATGCATCTACACGTGTGCTTTACTGCGGAGCTGACCAATTAGCTCCACAGTAACGCATCACTGTCTACACGTGTGCCTGTATTAGGGCACAGTAAATTAATTACTTTTGCTGTAGGACAGCACTGGCCGGGACAAGTACTCTCTTACAGCAGAGTAGTTGTGTGCGCTGAAACACGTGTGTAGATGGTGGCAGGGACTGGCTGAGGCATGAGGGTGCTAGTGTGGGGGCTGCCTGCTGACTAGCCCCACACTGTAGCACTCATGTGCCCCAGCCAGCCCCTCTGCAGCACTCTGAGCCAGGGCGGAGCAGCCCCAGGCTGGCAGGCTGACCCCCCAGACTGTGTAAAAGCTGCACCCAGGAAAAATAAACTCTGCTGCAAACTGCGCCAGAGTTTTTGCTACATGCTAACTAGGGCTGTGCAAAATGGCACCACTCCTTTTCGACTTGTGTTTCAAGGTTTCGACGGAACAGCGTTTCCTTTCGAAACTGCTGTCCTGTTTCTTTACATCGAAATAGTGACACTGTTTTGACGTTTCGTCCATAGGCTATAATGGGGAAGCTCAAAACAGCCTCTCTCATCCAGCAGGCAGATCAGGGACCCGCAACCCCAGGAGGGCTATGACGGCTGTGCCAGTCCTCCTGGGGTTGCGGGTCCCTGATCTGCCTGCCAGATGAGGGAGGGAGGCTGGGTGCTGCTGCCTGGGACCAGGGAGCTGGGGAAGGGAACTCAGCCCAGCTGGGCCGATTGTAGCGCTGGGGAGGGAACTCAGCTCAGCTGGGCTCAGTTCCTTTCCCCAGCTGATTGCAGCACATTTAACAGCTATTAAAGGTTGTGTGGATTCTGCTGGAACTGCTGAATCAGGTGGCTGGTTATCCTACCTAGATTTGCTTTCTGCAAGTTTGTCACTAGAGAAAGCTAATCTAAGGTGCAAAAGTGACCAATCACATGAGGAAGAACTTTAGTAAGAAGGTTTGATGGGAACCAAATAAAATGAACTAACAATAATTTAATAAACCCGTGGAAAGAGTATATGGATATGGGTTTAGAGCAGACTGGAAGTAGCTGTTCGAACTTCCTTTGAGCTCAATGGTTTAATGAGCAAGATAAAAAGATGCAGAAGTGAAAGCCTTAATGTGTACTCCATGAAAAGTTGTCAAGACAAACATAAATCAAGGTGCTACTGTGTCAGTTTACACCAAGGGCGGGCAAAATATGGCCCACGGGCCAGATCCAGCTCACCAAGGGTGTCCAGCCAATGGCAGGTCCCTTGGCCCCACCCAACGCAGATGTGGGAAGCAGCCCAAGCCATGACACATGCAGCTGGTTCTCCCATCCTGGGTATGCAGGAGGGCTGGGGTGGTGGGGTGGCAGGGCATCCAGGCTCACTTTCTAGCAATGACAGTTCCTTCCAGCTCCCACTCCCACCACCAGACCAGGCCCTGCTGCTCAGGCACCCTGACCACCCCCCTTCCCCCCAGCACACATCCCCACTGCCAGGGCAGGACCCACACAGGAAGGGAATGTGGCTGGGTAGATGGGATGGGGCCACAGGCAGGCAGGAAATGGTGTATACTAGACAGATGGGCAGGATCACAGGGCTGTGACAGCATGGGGCTGCGACCCAGGACAGAGGTACAACCTGCAGCCTGTACACCCCTGCAACGGGTGCTCGTTCCAGAGGCAGGGGCATGCGGGGAGCGGATCACAGCTGTGCCCTGGGCCCCGCTGTCACTGCCCTGCAATCCTGGCACTGACTCCACCTGCCCATCCCACTCTTGGACACAGCTCCCCAACCAGCTGTCTGCCACCCCATCCTGTCTGCCTCGCCATGCACACTGCCCACATGGGTCCCGACTGGTCTCCACAGGGACCTTAGGATCGCTGTCCCATGTTGTCATGGCCCTATGATCCCAGATGCAGCCCTGCCTACCCACCCATCCTGCTCCTAAATGCCTCCCCACCTGCCCATGGCCCCATCCCAGACATCTAGCTGAGTGCACAGCAGAGCCACTCAGGGAGTTTAGGTGAGCTGTTGCTCAACAAAACTCCCTAGGTTACCCTCCAGCCCAAATAATTGCCCAACCCTGGGTTTACACTAAATCCACGTTCTCCGATTATCTCAGTATCCAATGTTTCCTTTTAAAATGACTATTGCCAACGTTTAATAAACTCTAACTGTGGTTTATACTCCACTGAATATGCAAGTACATTAAAAAAATATCCTCTTAATTCTTTTGTTTCCCTTAAGATGCGGTAAACTTGCGGGGATAATTGTTTTGTGCATAGGAACATCAAGCAAACATGCCAAGTCCTGAACAAAGAGCACAAGGACAGCAGTCAATCTTTTCTAATCCTACCTTCTGTTTCAGTTCATATAAAACCAACTCCCTTGGGGTAGGGAGAGCCATGTGATTTTGGAGAAGCAATTTCAACTTTACATTCTTTAAATTATTCCTGGCAAGCCACTCCCAAATCTAACTGACATATCACAGTCAACGACTCCCCAAGGAAGAGCGCTGAAATGAATATAAAAAGCAAATATTATTACCTTATGCCTCTTTGCTGAAATGCTGGCAAGATCAAAGCATCCATTATCAGACAACCAACCTTTCAGTTCTGAATAGTCCAGAAACGTGGCTCGTTTGAATCCTAGTACAGTACTGGTTTCAAGGACAC